ATATATATATATATATATATATATATATAAAAGTTTAGAATGACACCTGTTATTTGTGCAACTTACATTTGTCATATAATAGTAATTTTTATAACTTATATCATATAACTAGTTGAAATATAAGTATATTAATTGATAAATAATTTTATTTTTAAAAAATAATTTTATTATTGTTATAAATATAAATAAAATTTATTTTTTTATACATACAATATGGATGTTAAATCGAAGTTCATCAACAAATGATTAATTTGATATATTATTTTATGTAAAACTGATAAAAAAAAATACTAAAGTTATTGGCCTTGTTTGGATCAACGAATAGCGGATTGCGGATTGTATCAGCAGATATCACGAACTATATTAGCTGATTTGACCAGTGGGTTGCATTAGCGGTTTTTAAATAAGTGTTTGGTAAATAGCTGAAAACTTATAGCTATTTGACATTGCAAAACTACCAATAAGGACATTTTATTATGTAGGGTGTATTATTTTAATAATAATATATTAAAACATTTAATATTTTTTAGTTGGTAATTTATAAATATATTATTTTTTTTTTAAAATTTACTAACACTTGATGAAAAAGTTATGAATTTTACATTTTCTCTAGATAAATTAATTATATGGATGACTTATTAGTATTTATTAGCACCATAAACTAATGTAGATTGTAAAAAAAAAATAATACAAATTAAAAAGTTCCAAGTAAATGATTTTTGTGAATCCTCTATCCCCAAAACGCTGCTCTAATGAGCTTTTTCTAAATTAGAGTTTTGGGCTAAAAAAGTTTATCAAATAAGCTATTTACCAAACAGGCTCAATAGCGGATTTGACGGGTCAAACCTCTCAATTAAGTCAAATCCGCTAATTTATCTTCAATCCGCTATCTTCCAAACGGGGCCAATTAACTTTTAAAATACATTTACAATTCAATGGTTATAATAAGAATTAAGATATAGATAATACATGTAACATGACCATAAATAATCAACATATTGATAGATAATCCTAATTATTTTTGGACGGGAAGTAAAATTAAAATATAACCAAGCCTAATAACGAGACATGTAATTTTGTCATATAAGATCTCGAAGCATGCGGGCCTGCCACTTAAGATATTATATTAAAACACAGATACATGTAACATGACCATAAATAATCAACATATTGGTAGATAATCCGGGACTAATTATTTTTGGACTGGAAGTAATATTAAAATCTAACCAAACATAATAACGAAACATGTAATTTTGCCACATAGAATCCTGAAATATGCAGGTCTGCTACTTAGGCTCAGTACGTTCTGAATTAATATACAGGGGATACAGGGGATAGGAGGATACTGATATGTGAGTTTTCTTTATCAACAGGCTCTTATTAGAAAACTAGTTTGAACTTCTCTTTAATAAATTGTCCAAGTATATATTATCATGAACAGGTATGGTTATGGTTGATTAAAAAAAAAACGGAAGAAAAACTATTGCATGCATCGTTAGCGTAGATATATTATGTGACATTTTATTTTTTAAACATAATAGTTGAGTTTAAACGTGAGCTATGTTTTGAAATTATCTGATAGCTTAGTATGTGACATTTTAATTTTTAGTGGACATGATAGTTGAGTTTAAACATAAGCTATGTTTTAAAATTATCTGAATAACTGATAAACTAATTTATAACTTATAGTTGATTTTCGAGTTTATAGTATGTTTGGTAAAATTAGTTGATAGCTGATAAACAAGTTTATAGCTTATAATTGATTTTCAAGCTTATAACTTATTATGATTTATAGATGAAAAACTAGCTTATATGATAAAAGTGTTTGGTAAAATTGGCTGATAAGCTAATTGAAATAAAAATTTCAATGAGAAAAGCTACTCAAAAGAGTTTATGATATAAGTTCGAGTTTTTTTAAAAAACTCATCCTACCAAACGAAGTTTATTTGAATATAGAAAGCTTATAAGTTAAAGAACTAAGGTATATAAGCTAGCTTATTTAGTTATCAAACATAGTCTTGCTGATTAGTATCAGATCTATGGATCTTCAGATGAACACAGAGAGAGAATGAAGAAGAAACAAAAACTGCGCAAAATTGTATTAGGGTAAAATAATCTGAAAAGTTAATACAATAGGGTATGAAGGGACTATTTATACTTAGCCCTAGAATGCTAAAAGTGCTAATAGAGAAAAGGACTTGTATACAAAACAATATAAAGATGCTAAATTACATAAAAGGACTTGTATACATTCTATTACCCCCGCAAGAGGAGCATGGATATTGGGCATGCTCAACTTGGAGAGGAGATGGTGAAATAAAGGGCCAGAAAGAGGTTTAGTAAGGAAGTCAGCTGGTTGCTCTTTGGAGGAGATGTGATGAAGCTGCAGCACACCAGTGGCAATCTTTTCCCTTATCAAATGGCAGTCCAACTTAATATGTTTGGTCCTTTCATTAAGGATGGGATTGGTGGCCATGGCCTGAGCTGATTTGCTATCTGTAAAGACTGAAGCAGGAGAAGCAAAAGTAATGCCCAATTCTTTACAAACATTAATGATCCATTGAATTTCACAACCAGTGGCAGCTAAAGCCCTATATTCAGCTTCAGCTGATGACCTACTAATAGTGGGTTGTTTCTTGGACTTCCAGGAAACAAGAGAATTACCAATGAAAACCAAATAAGCAGTAATACTTTTTCTTGTATCCAAACAGGAGGCCCAATCACTATCTGAGTAGGCATTAATAGATAAAGAACAATTTCTGTGAAAAAGGATACCTTTACCAAGGGTACCCTTAATGTACCTGAGTACCCTGTGAGCTGAGCTGAGATGCTGCTGAGTGGGGCTTGACATGTGCTGACTTAGGGCTTGAACAGAGTAAGCAAGGTCAGGCCTGCTTATGGTCAAGTATAAAAGTCTACCTACTAACCTTCTGTATTCAGAGGGTTCAGGTAGAATATTAGTAGCATTTTTATATTTTGTTAATTTCAAAGTTGCATCCATATGAGTATTAGGAGGTTTACACCCTAACATTCCAGTGTCAGTAAGTATGTCTTGTGCATACTTCCTTTGACACATATGGATTCCATGTTCAGAATGGGCAAACTCAAGGCCTAAAATATATTTCAATTGGCCTAAATCTTTGATAGTGAAGCAGTCATGAAGATGATTCTTAATGGCAGTAATGCAAGACATATCATTACCAGTTAAAATTACATCATCAACATAGACAAGTAAAATAGTGAAACTGTTGCCCTTGGACATAAAGAACATGGAATTATCAGCACATGATTGGGTAAAACCATAATCTAAAAGGCAAGATGTTAATTTATGAAACCATTGCCTAGATGCCTGTTTCAAACCATATAAACTTTTGTTCAATTTACGAACTCTCTGATTAGAGGGTGAACAGTATCCAGGAGGGGGTTTCATGTATACTTCCTCAGGTAAGTCACCATGCAGGAAAGC